TTTTATTTCTAATATCAAAAAAGAATATCATGCTTATATTCTTTCTCATCTATATTTTTATATTTATTTCCAATCATACCCTAATATTCATCAGAAAAGGTTTTTGAATAATGAGACATCAATATTCACATTGCACTGTTCAATATTCACATCGCACTGTTCACAGTCGAGATAAAAAAGAAAAATTTGTTTTCATTTGCCATGTGGGTGGACGTTGTCCAGAGCTGCAAACAATCGAATGACGTTCGGTTGAAGATGCTCTTACGTTGTTGAGTTTCAACTTTAATAACTATCATTAGTTACATGTTTTTAGGTAGGGTTCGAGTGGTTGGTAGGCGAACACGGTTGGGAACCCTCTGTCCCGGTTTCAAATCCCCTCTACTACAGCCTCGCCTCTTCAGTGGGGCAAAGCAAGTGCGGGCTAGATGCCGATGGGTGGCCTCACTAGGTTCTGCCGATGAATTTGTTAGGCTGCCAAGCACTCCCTTTGGAGTGGCAGCGGGTAGATATCCTGGTTCCAAAAAGAAAACATATTTTTAAGTTGTTGTAATGCAGTTAGTGTAAAAACTATAATTAATTACAGGTTGTTGTAATATCATAATTAGTAACTATATATGATATGTTTTATGATATTATTTACATTTTATCTGATTAAGAACAAAATTTTCGCGCAATTCATGAAGCTTGCAGCATTCAAAATTAGAGTTGATGAGTTCAAATAAAAATTTGAGGTGTTGAGTAGATTTTGATTATTCTAATGTTTCGTTTCGGACGATTTTCTAACTGTTTCTTAAAATAATTTTTTTGTATAAAATTTATAATATTTGTAAGTAAGCATCTCCAAAGAAGCCTAAATTTACAGTGAAAATAAGAATATTATTTGTGGTTTGGACTTCTATGTTAAATAAAATAGAATCTATCACAAAGAAATGAATCTGAGTATGTCCTTGCTCTGGGGTTTCATTTGGCTGCTTCCTTATGTTACTGTGCAGGCTGTCATGCTCTTTGTAAGTGGTTTTCTTAGGCCTTTTCAATGAGGTTTAGTTGGCCAATCTTGTTCCCTTTGAAAAAATGGTTGAATGTGCTAATTGGAGTTTTAAGTCCATGCAAGCACAATTGCATGGCCCAATGATATTGTCCCATACTTGCAACAACCATCGTAATTTATCCCTTTTAATATTTGGCTAGTGTAGTATTACTGTATTTATCAGCGGCTTTTTAGTGTTTGTCTGGGACAACTGTAGCGTTTTATAAAGTTGGTTGTGAAATTACAGTAGAGAAAACAACTTCGTTATTATAATTACAGAAAATAGCTTTTCACCACAGAAATTTCTAAAAATATATAATCTATGACAACTTCATGATAGTTACAATAATTAAGGGATATGCATGCTAATGTTTTGATGTTAAGGAAGATTAACCAATGGGCGATCAAGAGTTGAGCTAGTTATAATAATGGACAACTTTTTTTTAACCCAAAAGCTTATGGTTTATGAGTAACTGTCAATCGCTAGATACTTCACTAATTCTACAACAAAATATTTTTCAACTATTTCCTCACCCCACATGGACTTGAAAGTCTTCGATATCAACCATTGCTACTCATCAAATAGGATTTTTTTTTAACATTTTAAATATTTATACATTAAGGCTATATTTGGGATTGCTTTTTTATTGTTTCTTAAAGCAGTTTTTTAATACAAAAATTTAGAAGCAGTAACATAAACGTCCTAAACGAAGCCTAAGAGCCCACTGAACTTTTTGATGGCATCAAGAGAATCATTCACTCTTGAAATTAACTCAGCCATTGTAGAAGATGGCAAAGACCCATTGTAGCTACAAACCCTATAGACCACGTTATCTTAGTTGAACCATAAACTATAGTACTCCTGTTAAGGAGGATGAGCCTAATAGGTACCTGGGGTTGTGACAGATGCTTTAGTGGTACCCAATTTTAACCCAAAAAGCTTAACTTTTTTGGCCATGAATGTATTTCTTCGTGAATGTACTTTTTATCAATCGAATGTGGCATTAAATATAAGGCTTTCAACACACCGTTGTTTGTCCGGGTGATGAAGAGCCGGCTGGGCAAAGCCTAGGTCCCTGGTTCGAATCCCTTGGCAAGCAGTGAAAGCCTTAAGTGTTGACCCGTGTAAATTGATGTGGGTTGCATGCTAGGTCGACCGGGATTTGTACTGGCCTAAGTATAGTACTTCCTCGTCATAAAAAAATATAAGTCTTTCACATAGTTTAACATTAGTATGATCTATCACTTGAAAATCCCAATACATGTTTGACTACTACCCTCTTTCTATAATTGTAGAGGATAGTTATTGTAAGCTGGGAAGATCTACCTGGTCTCTAGATACCTCACAAAGTTGCTGTTGGAGGTAATGCCACATTTACATAGCTACCAATGCATCACCTCCCTTTTTCTCATTTTCTTTGATTTTTTAACAAAGTGAAGTGAGTGAGAGATTGAGGTTTCGTTTGTGACAATTTGAAAGAAAAAAAAATTATACTAGAAAACTATTTTAAAAAATAGTAAGAAAGCTGTCTCAAATAAAACTTGAATGAGAGACTTATTATGAAGCATGGAATTGGAGCTCATCGTCATTGAGAATTTTTTCTTTTGTGCGTGTGGTGACAATCGATTGATGACAAGCAAAATGATTGGTCTAGTTTTATTGGTGTTTACTTTATAAATATTGTTTCTTGAGAAAAAATGTAACTATAATATCAAGTGTTGGATCACATTTGTTTGCAAGTAACAACATAATCTTATAGACAAGAATGATTAAGAAACAAGAGATAAGATGAGGGATAGAGAGTCTAGAATGAAAAGATTTGAAATTTCACTAGATTGCCTGGAAGTATAAGCTAGACTAAAGCAAATGATTGTTTGTCCCAGACTCATGGTTTGACACCCTATTTATTTATAAGCTCAGGTAGAGGGTTGCTACAGAAAACACTATGGGGCTGTTTGATAGCAGGATTTAGGCTGGGTCTGAGTTGGATTTGAGCGAAATCTAGCAAAACAGCCAAAAATGCAAAACCAAAACTCATGGCAAATGAAAGTCGCCGTAGATGAAAAATTCTCCCTTTTCGTGGTAAGTCCCGGATTCCCGAAATCCTCTTTTTTGCTGGATTTAAGATTCTATGAGCGCGAGAGGGAAGAGTCTGTTGGTTAAATCCGCTATGTGGCGAAACAATCACATGGGATTAACAGCTTTATTAGGAATATTATCAAACAATTTTTAAAATTTAAGAACCCAGGATTTCTGAATTCTGAATTTGGAGGATTTACGAAATCCTACTTAAATCAAATCCTCAATGCTACCAAAAAGCCCCTATTTGAGTTACATATAAGAGCTTATTATAAAATGAATAAACTTAACTAGTTTGTAGCCAATAAAATATGAAATTACATATTGGCTTATAAGGGCTGAATCCATATGATTATCTATATATAGAGAAATAATAACGGAAAGTGTAAAGTAAAGCAGAGCCGTTTCTGCGGCTGCCAGAGAAAGGTCTGAGCTCCACTTCCTTAAGCAAGTGTGTTATAATTACTGTCAGGATATGATAACAGCCCCCCTCAAGCTGATGGTGCCGGAGAAACCAAAAGCTTGGTACGTAGATCTTGAAACCGACGACGAGGAAGTGCTTTAGTGAATATATCAGCGAGTTGATCCTGGGAAGAAATATGGTGGACATTGATGGCAGCTGACTTGATACAGTCCCGGATGAAATGATAGTCCACCTCGATATGTTTCGTTCTCGCATGAAACACAGGATTGTGGGCGAGTGCGATTGCAGAAACATTATCGCAATAGAGAGATGTAGGAGTCGAAATTGGAATCTGAAAATCAGCAAGAAGTCGCCGAATCCAAATAATATCAGTTGCGGCAGTGGCTAAAGCTCTATATTCGGCTTCTGTAGATGAGCGAGCAACCGTAGATTGCTTTTTAACACACCAAGATAGAAGCGTGTTGCCAAGAAAGAAACAGTAACCGGTAGTGGATTTTCTATCAAAAGGATTCCCTGCCCAATCAGAATCAGCATAAGCGCGGAAATCTAATGAGCTCTGACTCATTTGAAATC